GAGAGAGAGAGAGAGAGAGGGAGGGTAGAGCGGTAGCGAAAATGATATGTGCGATATTTCAAGCGATAATTAAAAAGAAACCGGTAATTAATGCTAATTGGACGAGACGCCCGTCCCCGTCGCGGCTTTGTCCCGCGGAATGCGATTGCGTCGCTTTATATCCCGATACGCCCCGACTGTTGTCGACTGACGAAACTCAAAGCAACCAGAAGCAAAAGGATGGGCTGAGATGATATTTATTAGAGAGCGTGAAAAATGCGAAAAAATGGTAACGAACGAGATAAAGCTTTTTTGATATTCCATCATTAAAGCATAATTCTTAATGATGTTACGTCGTTAAAACTAATAAGAGCCAAACGCGATTGATGGAGTTGCGAGATTAATTTTCATTTTTCAAGACTATTGTGTTCAGAAACCTATTTGAATTTTGTAAATTAGAAAATATCTTTTTGCCGTTTATCGAGATGAATTTCATATATCGCCGCATAATTCTCGTTGAATAAAGAAGTTACAATTATTGGTAATAAATTAAACCTTTATGTTTTTATTACAGATTTAATTATTTCATAAATCAAAAGATTTTTTATACATTTAAAAATACTTTTGACTGATTAAAATGATAGATTTACATTTGATTTTGATTCTGTTAAGCAAAGGGTTATTTAATTTAAAATATAGTTTTAATAGAACCGTGTTGCTAATTATATTCGACGACACGAAGTTTGCGGAAAGACAAAAAAATGAACGCCACGAAGAGGCACTCAACATTGACGCGATGAAAGAAAGAGGACTGGTGAATAGTCGATAAACAATTTCCGTCGCGTGCGAAGGAGCGTCAATAAGCTAGTGTCGATAAATTAACCAAGTAATAAGCCAAATAATCGTAAATAAGATATTATGATGGACTCCATCGCTGAACCCATTGTAATCTTGACTGTACGTGCATGGGAGACCTCTTGACTTTTCCCCACATATACGTTTATGGCTTGTTACCTATTTAGAGAGGATAAAATAGGATCTGTCTGCTCTAATAAGATAATCCGAGAAATACAGCGTTTGTCACGCGACATCAAGACGTTCTTTGTTTCTAAACGAATCCAAATGCAAAAAAATTAATAATTATTATCTTGTACTGAATTTCATAGTTTCATAATTTCACTGTTTGATTTTTATTGTATAAAGTAGTTCAATTGCTACTTTAAATATGATTCTCACAAGATTTAGCCTATTGAGCACTGTATTTTTTCGATATTGACCTGAATTGTTATATTCCATTCATTTGACCTCCAGATAATCGATGAAATATCGTGAATCGTGAATATTAGCGGCAAGTAATATATTCCGGTAATCGTTCGTCACTTTAATTGGCGACAAAAATTTGCATACACCATACACTCGATGCGCAGCGTCGAGTCATAGCAACGAAATATACATATATACACGTGTAATCATGAAGAAAGCGGGTCCGACACAGATAACATCAGCGAGTAATTCTAATAAGCGCCGCCGCGATGTAGTTATTATTCATCCTCTCGCGTTGTCTATTGACCCTCCAAAGTGTCTATCTAATAAAATATCATTAACCGCGTCATCAATCATCACCCCACCGCGCGGAGACAAAACATACGCTTCTCGCTTCGCCAACCCTCCGCAATCGCTCCTTTCTCCATTTCCCCCCTGCGTTGCAGTGTGTCTTCCTTCTCTCGGACGCACCATGCGCTGACACCGGCAATACAGCCGTCATGAGGCATACATGTGGCATTTAACGGACGAAAACATTTTTCGCTGATGTCTCGGCAGTAATTCAGGTATTTGACTAATTCGTTCGACTTTGACAAGCGATTCGTTGCGGACGCCCCGAAGAATGCGAAATATTCAAGATACAAATTTATATGTTTCCGATATTTTCAGAGAATTTAACAACAATTCGTTAATTAATTAATTAATTTGAGAATGCAATTTTGACAATTTAAGAATGTAATTGTGAATGTAAAATTCTGAAATTACGAACATTTATAAATTAAATACCAAAAATTTATACAAGTTATCTATAAATTAAACTACAGAATATTAAGCTTTTACATATTAAAAAGAATATTTTACTCTAGCCATTTCACTCTCAACAATATTTCGAATGAATACTAGCTATAATTTTTTTTATGCCAATTGTTGAAAATTTAGAAATCTGATAAATACAACGTTTTCGATATTGAGACGCTATAAGAATCCGCGAACCGACGATGTAATGAAATAAGTCTTGGACTGTTCTGAGATTTTCAACCATGCACGCTATCGCTGCTTTGCAATAATAGGAAAACCGCGAGCGTGCACATGGTGTCTCGACTCTCCCTTTGCGCGAGAAAGGGAACCCTCGCATTTTTACACGAGGGCAAAGGTCAATGCCTGTGCGCACTCGACGTCGCGAAACGAAATGTAAGGACGCGGGGCATAATGCCGTTTGAGAAAAGGGGTGGAAAGGGGCGAACTGACGGCCCACTCGAAACCTTGGGTCATATTATGTCGAAGCCGATGCAATCTTGACTTGCGACGAGATTTTTTCGAGTGTCGGCGGTTAGAGAGATGGCGAGAGAGAAAAAGGGAGAAAGAAAGAAGAGGGGAGGTGGGAGGTAGGGAGAAGAAGAAAGGGTGACAGGATGGCGACATCGATAATATACTGAAAGAAACATTTATGCTCGCATCCTTTCAATGTTTTTTCAAAGCTTTATATACGACTGAGAATCAACTTTCTATGGTTCTCGTTGACGAATTAAGAAAACGAACGGTGCATTGCGTTTAAAAACATGGCTTTAGAAGTATAGAGACATTCTACTAACATGAAAGGATGAAATTTTTCTTGTCGCAGCTTTGTATGGCTTGGAATACCGACTGTCAAATTTAACAATTTGAAAAATCTAGAAATTTTTTATTGAATATCTTTAGTCTAATCTTAATAACTAAATTTAATAAATAAACTAAATTTACATTCAAAATTACATTCTTAAATTGTTTTCTCAAATCAATGAATAAATTAACGAATAATTGTTAATAATTGTTCTCTGAAAATCGGAACGCATAAATGTTCATATCTTGAAGATTTCACATTCTGAATTTAACAACGATTGAATTA